CTTGTTTTCTTTAGTAGATTTGATCATATAACATAATAGGATCTCCCAAAGGCCAATATTGACCTTGTGGAGATCATATAAACCCACCATGCCCATTACTATCCTAAAAAAGTTAGGAAAACACTAGATGAAGGAGAGTTTGAGGAAAACAAAAACTAGAGAAGAATAGGATGGAGAGGGAAGCTAACTCCACCCTCGGTTATAGCTCGAGTATAGATTGGGATGGATTCTTTGGAGCTAATGAGGGGCTCATCCTCCTTAGCAACCTTGATGACTACATCATCAGGGATGTTATATTTAACTCTAAAGCTGGGATATCCTCCTTTGTTAAAAGGGCCATGGCAAAAGACTACAAAGAAGAGATAGAATAAGAGGAAAATAAAAAGGAGAAAAGGAATACATGACTTATAGGGCCCTAGAGTCGGTTAAGAATGGCGGCAAAGGAGGAAAAAGGAGAAAATGTCTCCTTTATGTAGAGGAAGAGGACACCAGAAGATGGAATGATGCATCTTTTTTAAATTGAAATGATCGTTTTTGACTATGCAAGGACATGATGACTTTTTTTTTTTTTTGTAGAAATTGGTGTATAGAATTTAATGAAGAGTATGATTGTTATAGAAAACATTTGCCAACATTCACCACATGGCATACATGCTCTAGGGCAATGAAGGGATTCATAATATTCATTTGCATGATTAGACTATTTAATGAGGACACATGATAAAAGGCACATGATAAAAAGTAAGATAGGACAATATGTCAAAGGCAGAGTGCCTCTGACCGAACTAAGGATGGATCAATCGAATAGATTTCGGCCCTAGCCAACCACAATTAGTATCTCCCCTATCAAATATTTCGATTTGTATAGTACTCGAGAAGTCAGGAGAGATCAAGCAAACATAAGGAAGAATCAGTGTCCAAATGGAACTCCAATTCCGCAATTGAAGGACAAGATCCACTCAAACAATAGATAGTTAAGCTATCACGAATTATTTGAGACAATCATAAACAAACAGTAAAGAAACTTCATATTATAAAGGTTCACATTATAAGCATGTGACCAAAAAAGTCAACGAATGAGAAAGGAAACCTAGAAATGTACAATCACGAATTTGGGAAGATTTAGCTAAAAAATAGGTGTGCCACTCTATTCCAGTCAGGACGCTAAACTCTAAAAAGTAGATACACACCCCTGTAAATACCTGATTGGCTATAGTCAATGGTGCACATTTCTTTCCCTACTGATTGTTTGCTTAGCTTCAAAACCTTTCCTAACTTAAGCATCAGAGTGCCCTTGGCCAATTACACCATCAGTCTGTGACAGTTTGTTCTTCTTATAGGAAGAAAGGTACATCCAATTCAATCAAACAATCATTCATTTCTTAGAAATCAACATCTTTCTCATCATTATCTAGGTATGAGTTTTTTTCTCGTATAATTTTTATAAATTAGTGTTAAGCACATTGTATTTTCCCACTTTTTTCCTTTCCCTATTCACCAACTCCCAAAAAGCTGCTAGATTTTTTCTTTTAGACAAGCCATTGGAGTGTTAGTAGTATATCTTAGGATCAATCACACAAATTACATTAGGGTTCTACTAACAACATTCATTATTTAATTTAAAAGGGTAAGTTTATTTATTATGTTACTATTTTATTTCACTTTAACGTACATGATATAGTACATAGAGTATAAGTTAATAAAATAGTTTGTCAAGGTATTGAAAAGAGGAGACATATACTTCTTAATACTTAATTCTTAAAGGTTCTTATTCATAAGATTACTATGTGGACACTATGTAATCTAGATAGACTATCATACACCACTTGCTTGTCTCAAGTCGCTAATATAGAGACACTAAAATAAGTGTTTACATGCTCGTTAGAAAACAAGTATATTGAACGTGACTATTGACTGATATAAGATTTTGCATATAAAGTTTTACATGTCTGTCAATTTTAAATCTTAAGTTATAATTATATAATTGATCCTTTGACCTAAGACTTCATGGTTTTTTTTGTGCATAGACTTCTATGTTTTAGATATATAACATATTTTTACACTAGCCATGTAACTTGAATATATATCGTTGGGCATAGTTAGACACCCTTGGAGATTTACTACTGTACAATATGAAATCTATCCCTTTAGTAAAAAGGGAGAATATCCTTTGTGATATTCTAAGATATGACTCAAGGAGTTCTTGGCCAAGGTAGAATGACAATTAGAAAAGAGCTTCTAATTGATCACTAACAGTTTTAGTCCTAAGATCAAGCATATAAGAATGAGTTATGTGTTTGACAGTAATTTCATCCTTCGTGTTATCAAAGGATTCTTTACCTACTTCGTGTTATTAAAGGGGGGATCATGATATGTTACTAGGTGTCACTCATGAATTAATAGAATTTTACATAATAAAATAATATAAATATTGTAAAATTCGGATAAATTTAAACTTTTTCTGAAAAAATGGGGTAAAATGATAATTTGTCACTATAATGTGGAATTAAAAAATATATTTTTCTAGAGCTCGGATGATGCAACGAACCTCACCGTTGGATTCGTCTCGCGAAATCTAGTTTCCTTGTCAATTTTTATCAAATTCTGAGATAGTTAGATTTTTTACGTTTTACAAGACAATTAGGGGACGGGTGACCTCACAAACGTCCGCAAAAATAAAATTTATAAAATTTCCTTATAATTGAAGAAAATTTTAAATAAAATTAATTTGAAATTAAACTAGGATGAAATTAAGTCATTTTGTAACAAAAACGGACCCCGGAAATAAGAAACGTGCAACGCGACGTGGATCGCACATTGTAAGAGTATAAATAGAGAAAAAATATCTGATTTTCAGATATTTCTCTCCCCATTATCAGTTGGTTCACACGTTGGAAGAAGAAGAAGAAGAAAAAAAATAGATTTGTTTTATAAAATAGTCATTCGATAAATTTCATCAATGACAAATGTATTGCACACATGCATTGCATTGTGTTGTGGGAGTCGTTGAAGACTCGGGATAAAATGCATGAGTGAGAATCATCTCATATCATGACATGAAATGACATGGTAGCATTCTAATCATGAATTACATGTTCTTGTTTGGAAATGGATAATGGTTGTTGATTATGGCATGTGCACATTTCAAATGCATCTAGGGTGAGGAGTAGCCTCTGTAGGGGATACTCCATTGAGCGTAGCTCACTCAATACGGGAAAACATTTCAGGTGCGGGATACACTCCGGCGGATGGCTTTCATTTGGGGCCCTAGTGATGAAAAAATACCAACTTGTGGCCTTGAATGGTTTTTTTGTAAAATTATTGTGAAAATTATATTTTGGGCATGTAATTACTTGTAATAGAACTTGTATATAATATGTTTTATGTGAAAAACCTTATTAAGCATGTTTTTGATGGTATTGGAATAATTTGAAATGGATTGTTGAAATAGGCAAAGGTCGGCAAAGCATACCAGTATGGTGTACCGGTATGGTGAGGTCTAGTGGGTTAACCATACCGGTATAGATTTTCCAGTGAGTTACCTGTACCGGTATGGCTTTTTCGGTGGACAACCCGTACCGGTATGGCCTACCGGTACACCTTCCAAAATTTTGAAATTTTAAAATTACTTTCCCAAACTTTTGGGCTATGGGTTCTTTAGTTCCTAGAACATAAATGGACTATAATGGAGTATGAAATGTGGTACATTGGACCACGATTTGATTTAAATGATAAAATATACACGAGTTACACATGTGAGTTGTAATCCCGATTAAAATGGATGTTATTGATGTGACGTCGAGTGGTGTGACAAACAAGGGTATCTCCGTAGGTTGACGGATGGTCAACAGTTGATAAAAGACCCCCGGTTTTAGGAGTGTCACAAATATAGTGTTCTTCATAAATGAAGAATTAGAATAGTTTTAATTTGAGATGCTATTTGAAGTTAATGTTTAATGCCTACAACAAGGTATACTTAAACCTATAAGATCACACACAATATAATTGATTGGAAACTAGATGATAAAAGAGAGAAAATCAATTAAGACTTAATCGGGATGAAAACCTAACTGAGTGATTACTACACACTCTTGCTAGCACAATAAAATCCACTCATTTCTCTCCATCTCTCTCCTTACTAGTTCATCAAAGGTTGAGTTAAATCCTTCAAATTTGTCAATTCGTATGGATACATACAGTGGTCAAACAATTGTGAGACTTGGGGTGAAAATAAAATTCATATGTTAAAGATTGTTAAGCATGTTTCCGGGGGTACCTTTAATCTTCTCCATAGATCTAGACATGAATGAATCTTGGAATAAGAAATCAATTTTTAAAAAAAAATTCCATTATGTTTCTTATTTCGTTTACTACTTTTCGGCCATTTATTCATCATTATCCTCGTATTCAAGGGCTAGGAGAGGGCAGAGGAGAATAGCGTTTGAGCCAAAGCCTCCACCAAGGCCAAGCCATTCCCACCAAATGAAGTATTTTGTACTCCATTCTAGACTGTCCAATGAAGTATTTCGTACTCCATTCTAGACCGGGGTACAAAAATACTCCAAGATAGGAGAGGAGGGATGTGGAAGGCCTAGGGTTACTAAAAGGGTAGTGTTTGGGATGAGAAGTTGAGGCCATTGGGAAAGCAACTAGATAACTCATGCCATAGGAACTTGAAATGTACATTGCATAGTACCAATATTCTCCCATAAAGATTGGATATACATTGTAGTCCAAAATGAATACGTTGGATTTGTAGTAGACAATCACAAATATACAAGTCAATGCCAGGTATTGTTTGATGTTATCGGCAATTCCAATCTCCCACCATCAACACAAAACAAAAAATTCCAAACGTGATCTCAATTTTATACTATTCATCAGGTTGATGGAAATATCGTAAATCATGGATGAAGTGAAAACAATCATATATACCACCTATTAAACACCCGAGAGCAATTCAAGGAGATTTGAACACAAGCAAATCAGTCTCAAACATATTACCCTGCCGTCTGAAAATCCCCAAAGTCATCATCTGGTGTTTCATGTGGGCTCTGATTTTCAACAGAATCTGCTTCCTTTAGGTGTTCTTTAGCTGAGGCTGAAGCCTTGTCTTCAGATGTTTCCTCAAGACTTAACTTTGACAGCAGATCCGAGGGAGACTTAACAGCTGTAACAGCAGGTGAAAGTGGTGCAGGCGGAGGTGGTGGCGGTTTGATGCATATTGTGGCCTCTTTTTGGTTACCCTTCTCTTCCAACGAGAGAGTATTCAATCCCTGCTCAAAAAACTTGGACCTTACACTGCCATTACTTTTCTGTTGACACCAAATGGTAAAATTGTATCAGAATAAAGCACAACAATATTCAGATCGTTTCACAAAGATACTTCAGAGATTAAAAAGTTTACATTTTTTATCTTTAATACGAGGGTCTCCCCCTCTTTCAAACTGTAATCAACTGATGACGTTTTCTGGTACTGTTGTTCCATCTCTTCAGCAGTTTTTTTCTTGTTCAGATACCTTCAAACAGTTGCAGTTCCCTACTTTAGCAGGAGTTCAAATGCAGGGTAATCATTTAGAAATAAACTGTATCAGACAGTAAGAGCCGGCACAACATACATCATGGGTGTGCCTATGTTTGTGTGTGTGAGAGAGAGAGAGAGAGAGATAGAGAGAGAGAGGTAAGATGCACAGAGAAGGATGGAAAATACTTCATATGATCATGAAGGGCAGCTTGGAAATCATAAGCTTGAGGTCTTTCCCGAAATCCTAATCCAATGAAAGCATGCCGGAGGCGGCCATCTGCATGAATTACGAGGGCTACCATTTAAAAAAAATGATAAAAGGAACAGAGTAGGGAGTACACTGAAAAGCTAATACAATATTAAGGGGTTAATAGTTCACGATGCAAGCCAATGAAAACTGACTGCCATGACATCTCAGTTTGAATAGTCTCAAGAAGGTACCCATGAGGCTTACAACTACGCTGACATGGTGGTGTAATATTTCAGTGCTGCAAGTTTTCTTAATACCATAATATTTGTTAGTTGCATTTTGGAGACATTAAGCACAATTGTAGGTGATAACATCCAACAAACATATGTCTTCGGAAATTCTTAAACAGGCTATAGGTACAGTACATATATAGAGAACTAAATATGATAACTAAGTAATAAAAGTTCATAAACAGGTGCAGGCATCCAAGTCAATATTGGTACTTATTCAAAATAAATATGATGGTGCTATTTAAAAGTACCAACATGAATCGTCATTTATTCTACTATAAAAAGCTGTGTTTGGTTTGCAACACAATTTTTCGTTTGCCCCTGCAAGGAAATTTATGAAATGACATGTAGAACACGGCAAGAGAGTCTCCACTTGTCTGGTTCCTAGAGAACAGTCCTCTTACACTACTGGTAAATAATACAAAGTAAAAGGTTATCTCTAGCAGAGCATAGGTTCTCATGTCGAGATTGTGTGGCGTAACTTTTCCTTTGAAGTTGTGTTCTTTGGCTGACGAGCAGCATTAAACACAGGCTAAACTACTAGAATATTAGTGGGACTTCATTCCAATCTAATCTGCAGATTAAATGCGTTATATTAAAATCCAATCGATCCATGGTTTGGTTTCGTCAAAACCTCAGGATTTGAAAATGTTCTATAGAGGCTTGGTGTCTCATTGAATCTGGCACACGGCAAGGCACTTGACAAGACAACTTTGCACGCAGCAAGATACTGGACAAGACAACTTGGCACGCGACAGTAAATCAAAGCACGACAAGAAACCAAGGCATGCAAAAGGGAATATTGTGCACGACAAGGGAACTTATCAGGAAACAATGCATCATGGCACTTGTACACTTATTTCTAGCCTCCAATCAGAAATGGAGGAATTGATTAAGAATGGGGTCCGAGACGAATCAACGCGACAAATGGCAGAATCTCAATGGATCGTGGTAGCAAAGCCACTCTATCACTTACAATACCCCATCGCCGGTGGGAATTGTACTTCAAGGCGGCCCGTGCAGGTAATCCGTCACGTGGGCTTAACCAAAGACACATGGCTCCGGGGGCCAAATGGCTTCTACTGCTGGTCAGCAAACGGTTGGCAGATGCATGCATCGTATCTAGGTCGGATTCTGATTTAGAGGCATTCAGTCATAATTCAACGCACGGTGGCTTCGCACCACTAACTTTTCAACCAAGCGCGATAACTAATTATGCGAATCAACAATTCCTCTTGTATTCGGTTGAATTACTATTGCGACATTTTCATCAATAGTGCAAAACTAACATGTCTCACGACAGTCTAAACCCAACTCATGTTCCTTATTTATGGGTGAACAATCTAACACTTGGTGAATTCTACTTCACAATGATAAGAAGAGTTGACATTGAAAGATCAAAAAGCAACGTCGCTATGAATGCTTGGCTGCCACAAACCAGTTATCCCTATGGTAACTTTCTCACACCTATAACTTCAAATTCCAAAGGTCTAAAGGATCATTAGGCCACGCTCTCACGATTCGTATTCGTATTAAAAATCAGAATCAAACGAGCTCTGACCTTTCTTTTCCACACGAGATTTTTGTTATTGTTGAGCTCATCTTAGAACACTTGCGTTATCTTTTAACAGATGTGCCGCCCTAGCCAATTTCCACAAACTCACATATGTTGGACCCTTCAAACCAAGGTTCTCCCCATAATTCCCGATTTCCTTAATTCTCTCTCTTAGCTGGAGGTCACACATATCGTCTGCATTATGCTGGTATCCATTCCTAGATATTAATTATTAAGTGATAGTAAAGAACTAAATTTCATTTTGAAATAGCTGAAACTTTCGAAAAGTTTGTTTATGTGAAACCTGAAATGAATCAGTATTTGAACACTAAAATTCTTAAATTTCGAGTTGTTTTGATGAATTTCTAGATGCTTTGATATATTTTAATCATTGTTTTGAAATGTTTCAAGGCGGGGTTCCCACATCAACCCAAACAATCGTTGATTTGATGTTACACTTCATATTGTGTTTTCCACTGATGAGGCAAACAACCATCAACCAACTTAATGCCTTTCGTAACTAATAAAGTGGACTCGAGGGTACTTGGTATTGACTGGAATGAACCACTCCTCGAGACCAGGCATATAGCTTGTTGGCTGCACTACGCCCACTTCACAATTGTAGCTATAGTGTAGGTGGGATTCAATCCGCAACTATCGAGCCCCTTTCCTCAATATACATCTCGAATTAAATGGCCTCTTCTTGGGTCAAACACTTCATTCTTCTTTTTTTTCATTTGAGGTTTAACTAACAAACAAATTTTAAAATTTCCTTATGTTTAAGAAATTGAAACGTTTCCAAGCTAACCAAAATTATAGACTAAAACAAAATTTTGACCCTTAAGTGACGTAGTGGTTGGCCTCTCACTACCAGACAACCACTTGGTTCAACGGCTCATGAATTCAAGTTTATATCCGCATGTCTTCTCTCTCTCCATATGTTTGTGTTCTCGCTTCTTGCAATAGTATCCATTGTGTGTGTGGGGTCCTCTGGTATTATATAAGGAGGGGGGGTTGAAGGGCTTTGATATTTGATCACTCATCTTCGGAAATGTCATTACATCAGATGTAGAGAATTCAATCAATAGGGTCCCCAAAAGGTTTTGCCTGATTGCCATAATTGGCATAGCGGAGCATCCTTCAGAGATGCCCCTCCCAATGTGCATATTAACAAGCTTGCAACAACTTCATTGGGCATACGCGATGATAAGTTGAAAGCTATGACCGTGACTGCAAATACCAGTATGATTGAGTTGGAAGAGCTAGAAAACACAAAGTTTAGGCCATTTGAAAAGACAAAATGGCAAAACATTTGATCCAAATATGGCCTTTGATATAGCAAAAAGGCGAAGAATCATAAAGGTAGGCAACCGAAGTAGTTGGAAGTGAGTAAGATCCAATTTTGCTTGTAGCCTATGCAGACGTACATGCTTGTAATTTTGAACTGTCTTGCAAATGCTAGAAATCCAAAGTTAATGGCTTCTATGTTTCAAGGCTTGGTGTTATCCTTTATACCTATGAAGCATGGACACTCTCGAGAAGGTGATATATCTGTATCGGACACCGACACCCTTCGGACACGTGTCCGATATTCTCTTATTTGTGTCCATAATTAAATAATAAAATTTTAATTTCGGATACGTATCCAACACTTCTTTGGTAACATGTTTGACACATACTTTAGAACTTGTCTTTTACTAAACAATAACTATGTGTTGAAATGTGATTAACAAAACTTAAAAATTTGAGAACATATAATTACCAACACTAGACATATTAAAGTTGTACTCCAAATCTAATAATAAAAACAAAAAATGCATAAAAATTTTTAAAAAAATAATTAAAAAAATAAGAGCAATTATTTAAATTATATATTAAGTACACATTTTCTACAAAAAAAATTGATAATTATTGACAATTAAGAGGATGCTTTAGTAGAAAAATTCGCATAGATGATTATACATAAGATTTACTTATCATAAAATACTAAATCTTTTATGAATTGTATATCATTATCACTATATTTGCAATAAATTATATAATGTTATATATAAAATATAACTTTTGTAACGTGTCTCCAACGTGTCCGTGTCCTACTTTTTTTAAAAATGTCATGTCGGTGTGTCCGTGTCATGTCGTATCCATGTCTCGTGTCCGTGTCCATGTTTCTTAGCTTTATACCACATCATCTACTGATTCACGAAAGCTATTTCGACAAACAAAAGAACCTTTGTGTAACTAAGGGCATTTTCCTATTGGCTACTTCAACTATCAAATAACAAAGCTCTATGAGTTCCAATATCTTGCAAAGGTTGGATGTCTACAGTGTTCATGCATAGAGTGGTTACTTGTGGAGACATAAGGCAAGGTAACAACTAACAATCATTGAGCTATTATGATGAACAAATAGAAAGAAAATAACTAAATTGTTTAAGACAAAAATAATTTTTACAAGAGGCAAACATTGTATTACCAATATTCTCTTCTATGCGGAGAACGAAGTACCTGTAAAAAGATCAGATAAATAAATATCAAGCTCCAACACACAACAAAAGCCAGTGTGTAGCTCAATGGTAAGAAATTTCAAACTTAAAAGTAAAAGTGCAAGATAAAGCAGTGCCACTATTCTTATTTCAATTTAATAATATATTGACAAATTCAAAAAAGGTGGTTTTAGTTTTTAAAAAAAAAATGTATTGGACCTGCTGCTGTCAATTACAGGCTCCACTGGATGCGGCTCTCCATCCCTCAGAAATGCCCGAGCATACAATTCACCTATTTTGAATATATCAAGTCAATAATAAGTAGTTAAAAATATTATGTCTAGTGCAAAATAAGACTTCTAATTAGTCAGTTTTAAAAAACTCAAAAGTTAACTTCACCTGTTGTCTTATCTTCAAGTCTGATAATGCATTCTTCTCCCTTGCTAATAACTTTTAGTGTCCCTTCCCATGCCCACTTATTAATATTCCATTCATCAGCCCTATAAAGAATTAGAAGTCAATTAAAATCTTCATGTCCAAAACATTCACAATAAATGAAGCCGCAATCTCATTGTATCTAGGATCCTAGTGCACACAGAAACAAAATGTTTATATCAAACCAATGCCAGAAAAGATGCAGAAACTTATGTGGTGCTGTATTGGTTACAAGGAAACAGCAAAACAACAACAAACATAATATAGTACAACCCAACCCATCTGTAGTGGCATAGAAATTTTCAAATCTTGTTTGCATTAATTTTCCAGCAATGAAACTAAATTTGAC